AAGTCTTAGTGGGGTAGGAGATCTCAAAGACTGACACTTGAATCACATTATAGAAATGTAAAAAGTTTGGTCGTACAAGTATAGGAGAGAGCGCTCCAGATAGCGTTAAAGACTGGTGCAGAGAAGGTCAGGAAATTGTTGGAATGGAGGATATTTGGGACATAGATGGGCAGAGGGTAAGCTCCCAAAGTTATGATCAGCTAGGAGACATCTTAAAGACTCTGCATTTTATCATGAAAAGACTGGCATGCTAATGCAGAATTGTGGATAATGGTGTCATATACTACTTAGTTTTCAAAAGAGTCTGAGTCTGTGCTGAGAATAAACTCAAAGACCAGATTAAGGGTAAAGACTGAGCAATCCATCAAAAATCCATGGGTAGGGTCAGTGAGACAGATCAGTGTGTAAAGGTGCTTGCTTTCAAGGCTGGTGACCCAAATTTGATGTTCATGACGTGTATGGTGGAAAGAGAGAACGAACTCTAACATGCTGTTGTCTGACCTCCGAATGAAACCATGTGCTCAGAATGAAAGTAAAATGATGTCTGTAGAGTGGACAAGATTAGACATAGATTGTAGACTCCTTTGGAAAATGTAGCTGGTTATGGTAGACTAGGTATGGAGTGTGAGGAAAAGAGAAGCAAAGTCCAAAGTTTGGACCTAACAGCTAGAGAGAGATTATTTTACTCCCAGCCAGGATAGAAATACTGGGGAACCAGGTTTGGAGGAATGACGTATCACTTAAGAGATGTTGCCGCTAAGATGTCTGTAAGATATTCAGTGCCAGAGAGGCAATTGCATGTATGACTGGGATTAAGAAGGAGTACCAGCCTAGAGATAGGAAATTTGCATATATTTATGTACTTGGTGGTAAATGATGTGATTGAGAACAACTTGGAATATTTTGAGAACAAGAAAGAAAGGAAGGCAGTAAAAATGGCTTTGGCCAACAAATGAGAAGACTGTGTATTTGAAAGATTTAATTTTTCTCATCCTTACTTTAACTTTCTTATGCATTTAAGGCAAGTGTAGGTTAGTCCAGTAAGATGTCCAAAGTTGGCATAAACTTAACCTGTTTCTCCTGTGCTGTTTAATTGGAATTGCCTCCACTAATAATAAGAAAATCAGGTGACTAAAACCAAACATGTCAACAGCTATAGTCTGTTAGCAGCAACTTAAAGCCCAGGAAGTGACTGCTTGATGTTAACTATGAAACATTGAGCGACTTAAAGTTTAAATTTGGATAAAGTTTTATAAAGCAGTCATGGTGGTTTTATGTAGAAGCCTGGTTGAAGATAGTGATTGCAAGCACCAAAATGGGAAGTCAAAGAAGGGTGTGGGGCAAGAGAAGAGCAGAGAGAGAAGGAGGGAGTAAGGGAGAGAGAGATAGAGGAAAGAAGGAGGGAAGGAGAGACGGAGGGAGGGAGAAGAGTGAGAGAGAAATTATGTAAATTGTGTTTCTTGAAAGCATTCAGAATCTTTAATTCACACACTCTAGTATCTGAAAGCACATTCAGCTGCTATGTGGAGAGAAGAGAGCCTTTCCTTGGTTGCATCTGCAGGCTTGTGGCAATGTGAGTCTCTCTCCTGTGTGTATGTGCATGGAAGGGCAGGAGTGGTTGAGTGGGCAGTTGGCAGCCATTCCTTGAATTGATTGCAATCATTCTAAAACCCAGCAGTGCTGTGGGCGGGGTCAAGAGGAGCATTCCCCAGAGGTAGCTGCAGAATGCCTTATTTGCATAAGACTTTCGTGATGCTTAAGGCATAAACGAATGCTTACATACAAGGTTGTAAAAGTTCAAGTCTGATTTTTTCACCATGTAATTGAAGACGTTCCAAAGAGTTAGAGGTCAAATGCCTCAAAATGTTGCTCAGACTATAAAGATTAGAGGAAGTGAACACCATGGCAGGATTTGTGGTCTCTGAATATATAGTTGAAGTGAATCGTGGAGAGAACGTTAAGACACTGAGCTATCATTGGATTTCTTAAAAAATGAAGGAACCTTATCATTATAATGTGTCTAATCTCTTGAGCTAAAAAAAATTCCATGCACTAGTACTGTGAAAAACATTAAGGTTTTAAACTGTCTAAACTGAGATTAATTTGAATCACAATTTAAAAGGAATGTTAATCCTTTAGGCTAACAAAATCTCTGAAAATATTATTTATTCAGTATGTCTTGTTTTGAGCATCGAGTATTTTTTTTTTCTTTTGTTAAGGGTAGCCCATCAGAGATGACCACTCAGACACAGTTTGTAACCCATTTGAAAGTCTTCATTTCATCCAGCTGGGGCTACATTCGAGTTTTTGGGACCTACACATAGCCCTGAGTGTCTGGAGCACAGGGTTTTTGAAGGCAAATATGCATCCTGGCATCTCACTGGCAGCTGCAGGGGGCTTTGCAGAAGCATACAGTTTAGCAGAAGCTAGGATAAACACACAGTTTAACAGAAGCTAAGTTAGGTGGGGCATCTGGACCTCGGCTTCCTACAATAGAGTTTGGCCATTTTTCATGGGATTCTTCATCATGATGATCACATTATCTAGTTAATCTAAAATGGACTCAGCAAAAGTGGAGGAACCACTGCACTGTCTTGCCTGTCACCCTTTCTTGTATCTAGAAGATATTTTATCTAAAAATATTTCAGATTAAAAAATTATAGAAATATTTGTCATCATGACTAAGAGTCCTTTTAAACTGGTTGAATGATTAGCAATCTGAAAGAAATAGTTTCTTCTCTCAAAACTCAGATTTGGTAACTAACTCTATCAGTAGAAGAAATGTATGTCTTGTGGGTAAAAATGAATATGGAAATGTGGTGTTGTCTTTTATGAGTTATGTCTAAGTTAACTTTGCTTAGTCAAACAGGTCTCTAATCCCTGCTGCTCAGGCTAGCCGAGATGATAAGGTAACAGGTTGGAGGGTCGCCTGGGTTACAGAGGAAGCTCAAGACTAGCTTGGGCAATTTAGTGAAAAGCTGGGTAGAATGCTTGCCTAGGCTCAATCTCCAATACCAAAAATAAACAAGGAAATAACCTAAAATGCGGATATACATTTAAATCAATTCAAAGGGTATTGTGTTTGTAGAGTGGTGTGTTTATTTTTGTGATTTAACGAAACTTCAAAATTCAGAAATTAAAATCAAGTTTTTTCTCTTCCACATAGGTTGAGCAGCAAGTGCAGATGGAAGAAATATGCCCCAGGTTTTAAAACCAAACCATGGGGTCTTGACATTGTCTGACAGTTTTCTTCCAAAAGCATGGCTTTATAGTTCTTTTTTTTTTTTAAGAAAAAGTTTGGCTTAGGAAACTACCTGTGGTGTATAATATTTTGCAATTCTTAGAAAATAGTTACTTCAAAGAGTGAGAAAATCTTCATGTGGTAGATTTATTTCAAAGCTTTCTACAAATACTTGATCCTCAAGGGAGAAAAAGCAGAATCTTGATTCTCAAATTCTTCAAAAATTCTCGAAGTTGGTGGTATTTTCAGAAGCCAGCCCGTGTAGATCAAACAGGCTGCATATGCTATTTTGGGATGAGTGAGAATTGTCAAAGATTTTTCCACTGCTATGAAATTTAAGTTACTGGGCATTCTACCTTGTGAAAGTGAGACTGAAGTCCCAAGGCTGAGAAATTCTTATCCATGGCTTCTAACAGCTGTCTTCCTGCAATGCCGCTACATGAATAGCTTCTTCATGAAGCTCTGACAATAGCATAAGGCTTTGTGGTTCCTGTGGATATGTCTCACTGTTCTCTCTTGACCATCTATTGGGCATTCAGCGAGCCCAGATTTAGCCTTTATCCCAGGAGGAAAGTGTCAAGGTTTTCACACTCCTTTCTTCGCTCACCGTGTTTGCGTACTGATTTCTGAGTGTTCTTGCCGGTGGAATGAGCAGTGTGTGTCTGTGTGTGCACATTTTATGTCCACGTCTACCTGTATGATATCTTCCAGAAGTGGAGAATTTTGCCACGCAGCTTTTCCTCTGACAAAACAATTTATTACCATGGCCTCACCAGAGATCTCCTGGCATTATGTAATTGGCCTTAATTTTGAGTAATGTAGCCAAATCTCCAAGAAAGTTCTTAGGGACCGGGCTCATGCTTGGGGGTCCTAGAAACTCAGGGCATTTACATCTAGCAAATTCTATAATGTCAGGCCTCTGTATTTATAACCAGACTTCTCTCTTTAAAGCTGTGTTTGATTTACAACTTTGAGAAGTATCTAAGTCATTTAAGTACATTCCCAGCTGGAGGCATTTTCTGATTTTGGCCAATGGATCCCTTCGGTGCTCTAAGCCCTGTTAACATGAGAGAAAGAATATCATCAACTCCTGCTGCCCTTTGGAGCTTAGCTATCTTGTCTACCTTCTGCATTCATTTTATGATGAAGGGCTCAAGGGATAGCGGCTTTTCAAGAATTATTGCACATGAATCCGTACACACTTCCTGTGTAAACCTGCCCTTCATTTCATCCTCCTCCTCAGCTTGAAGGGAATTTGGAATATGGGGGCGGGAATCTAGAAGCCTCTCAGATCTCTTTCTGTATAAGCAGGAAGACATATGTGGTGGTTAATGATGTGAAACGAGAATCTGTATCTTCTAGTGCGACAGCCAAAGCCACAGAAAATTCTGCTTGATTTTTAACCTATCCACACAGCAGCGGCTCTATTGCTAAGCACTCAGATGCCTTCACACGGTGAGACCAAAGCGTTCAATAGCTTTTCTGCTATGGGAAATGCTGCTGACAATCACTTTATTGATGCTGAAAGGGAAGTCAAATATTGAGGCCAGCATAGAATTTATGTGGGTGTAGTCGGGCCTGTGGAAATCCGAGGAAAAGAATTCCACCTTACAGGACCTTTTCAGGGCCCAAAGTTAATATTGATGGGGCTCGCCAAGATTTGCCTTTAGATTATGTTTTCAGTACGGTGTTTAATTTCCAGAAATGCTCTACGCTTTTATAATTAATAGTGCGTTGTGCTGTCTATCATGCGCCCCAGGTGTGTTGTCAGGGACATGGCGAAGCCTGCTGCCTGCAAAACACCAAGGAATGCTGAAAGCCAGCCCCATCAGCCACCACTGTAAGTATGGCATTGGTTTTATTGACTGAAAATGTCACCTCTTACCCAGATCACTGGTTACAAATTTATTAATGACTTTGCATGTGGGAGTAGATACACTAGTTTCTCTGGTACGTGTATAATAGAAAGACTACTGCCATTCAATTAGATGAAAATATCTGTGAGCAGAAGCTCTGGAGTAAGTATCCTTGTTAAATGATGTTTCTAATATATTGCAGGAAGTCGATTAATTAGAAGAGAGGGAAATGTATTAGCAACTTTGAGTTTTGCTTTCAGTTATTATTATTATTGGTTTTGGGATGCATATGACATAGATTATTAGACGCCCAGGAAGTGTGGAATCAAGGTATAGATGGGGTGCCAAGTAGGGACTGGAGTGTGTTAGAGAAGAACTAGACAGTAGTCTACCAACCCAACCCTCACACTATAATGTTTAAGGGCAATGGACACTCTTCAGAGACAGGCTTTTCTCCCTAGTTTCAGCCTTATTATTGCATTCTTAGGTGTAGGTAGAAATGATGATTAAATGTGAGCAACAAAGAGTAACTTCAAGGGTGGGAGAGGAAATCGAATATGTAAACTTTTAGTTTCCCATATGGAGTTTTAAAAAAAAAATTGTTAGAATTCTGCAGAGTAACACGTTGCACTCAATCCTCAGAATATAAGTATTCTCCTTGTGAGAAAAGATGAAAATGTCCTTAAAGTGCATAATCAGCAGCAACTTCCTTAACAGAAGCAATACAGTGAACCAGATACTACTGGGAAATGTCTCCTTCCAACGTTTATAGATCATTTTTAAATATCTCTTCAGCTATCTTAGAAATATTTTTTAATGCTAAGTCAAAATTAACTGATGAAGTAGTAAAAAGTCTTGGAGGAGAAAATTAAATTCTTCTATTTCTTTAGCAAGTTTTTATTAGCAATGATGAAAATTAAATAAAACCAAATGTTTTCTTAGAGCAATAGAAATCTTTTCTGAGCATTGCCTATGCCATCGTACTCCGCAAGCTCTTTGCATTTTACCTCATCAAAACCCACAGTAACAGCTGGATTTTGTATGTCTATCTATTTGATACCATCTTTACTCTCAACTTTTTCCTTTGGTTTGGCCATTGAAATGCTCATGTTTGGTACGTTATATACAAGAACAAATAGTTTTGAGTATTAAAATTTAGGATATTAACATTTCACAACAAAATTTGTGTATAGACTTAGTGTGTGTGTTAAGGATTTTTATCTCAATAATAGACTTGGATATCAATTTCTGCATGATCAGTATTTTCCAAGAAGTAAAATAGTTTTGATTGAACCATAGTAAAAATTATTTATAATTACTTTGAAAAAAGTAAAATTTCAACAATACACTAAATGATTATACCATGTATTTACTTCATAGATAAATATTTGTGTATATTATATAGTATTTTATTACATATGGGAATATCACAGTTTTTCAGGCTTGTCTGAAAATCCTAGGCTTAAGCTTTCCTCCTGCCTCAGTTTCCACAGTAGAGTGACAGGCATGTGTCACCATGAATGGATTTTTTTTTCTTTTTTAAAAAAATCCTTTTACTGTAAAAAGCTTTTTCTTGTGATGGGATTAGTCTTGATAATTCCTAGAAAACTTCTGATCTTCTCTAACTATCTTATGTTTTAAAACTAAATGTTGATTTAAAATGTTTAGCTCCACACACTGAAATAGCTTTATTTTATATTATATGTATGAATTCAGGTGTACACATTCCTTTTTGTACATCTGTGTGCAGGTATGTATAGATATTTAAGTACATAAATGCTTAGATCAGAGTATGATATCAGGTGTCTTTTGCTAATGATCTCTACCTTACATGTTTTTTCTCTCGGTGATCTGTGTGTGTGTGTGTGTGTGTGTGTGTGTGTGTGTGTGTGTGTGTGCGCGTGCGCGCGTAAATGTGGATGTGTGCATGGACATGTGTGCGTGTATGCGCACAGGTGTCTGTGTGCATGTGTGTGTGCGCATATGTGTGTGTGAGTGCACAGAAGCCTGGAAAGATCCTGGTGAGTTCTGCTCTATTCTCAGCTCTGTCCCCTTGAGACGAGGTCCCTCATGAAGCAAGGTGCTAGGCTGCTAAGCCGTCAGTGTGAGTCACCCTCCTTTCACTTTACCCTTTAGTGCTGGAGTTATGTGGCCTTGCCAGGCATTTTTATGTAGGTGCTAGGAATCTGAACTCAGGACTTCATGCTTGTGCTGCAGGCACTCTTACCCACTGGGCCATCTCCCCAACCCATCTCCACCTTCCTTGTTTTGAGTCAAGGTTTCTCATTGACTGGGAGTCATTGTCTGGACAACAAGCTCAGAGGACCCTCCTGCTTGGTCTGCCATCACTGGGGTGTCAGAAGCATCCAGCTGAATCTGTTTGATGTAGGTGTTAGGGATCAGCCTCATATTCTTATGCTCATGAAGCGACCACTTGATCCACTGAAATGTCTACAGATTGCCTCATTTTATTTATTTTAGCACAGGGAATTGAACCCCAGCTCTGCACACGTAAGGCAATCACTATATTACAGAGCTTCCTCCTAGCCTGCACAATGCCATTTTAACTGGCTTCACTCTTTCCAAAGTTCATGCTCTTCTGGATTTTAGGCACAAAGTAACAAATGTTGTTCTGTTCAATTAAGACTTAGACTTTTTTTGTATTACTGAGACAGGGATTAAGTACCCCTAGTTGTCTTGAAGTTCACTGTGTAGACCAGGTTGATCTCAAACTTATAGTGATCTGTTTGCTCCTGTCTCCCCTGTCTGTCATCTCCCCGCCGCCCAGTGCTGAGATTAAAAGTGTGATACTAGGCTAGAAGATGATTACATCATTGCTTTTAGTTATCACTCTTTTTAAAGTCATTAAATTTGCTTATACAGCTATAGTTGTGGAAGTCAGTCATAACTTGAGTTGAACCTAATAAAATGGTACCAGTGATGTCTCTGGCTTTATTGGACATGGAGCAACAATTGCGGACTCCTTGTATCCTTCCTACTCATGTATTTACATTGTAGTTCTCTGATTGAGAAAGTAGACTTTTCTTCAGGTGAATGGAAGAATTAAAGGCCATGTTTCTCATTTATTATTTTTTAATAAAGGGTCATATTTGTGGATTAAGTCCTCTGTGGGAAGGACAAAAGTAAGTTATAAGGGAATTTATAAGGACAAACTTTAGCTATAGATGAGTTGAAAATAGTGAAGTCATGCTGTTAGTGGGTAAAATTTACAAATATTAGTGACCAGATTTGTTGTAAAAGTTTGAATGCAATAGAATAGAAAATTATAAGAGTACATCTTAGATGAAGATTTTAAGACACACTTTATTATTCAAGATAAATGAGTCGAGATATAAATTTTAATTTTCATTACATTAAGTTATGAGGCTTACATTAATAGAGTTTAATTAGATTAGCATAATCAGATATGTGTATATATGAAATTGCTATTGGTAGCAGTGGGGAAATTAAGTATAAATGTGATATATACTGAACCAATGACAAATCAATCAGCAACCCTTTGTAATAGTTCAAGGAGAGATGCAGAGGCCTTAGAGAAGTTCAGAACCTGAGTCATTTCTGAGCTAGAATCTAGTACTTGTGGACAGTACTTTTTGGTCTATTAAATGTATTTGTAAGGAAATAATTTAGTGGAACTACCTTATTCATGCTTGAGTGATAGACATAATGACTAAAAAATTAAATTTAAGAGATAAACCAAATCTAGGATAGATGAGCAGTACAGAGTTGAGTATATATAGATTTTGTGATTTGTGGTATGTGTAAATTTTCCAATTTTATAAATTTAACATACACACACACCAGCAATGCAGAAGTGTTCCCTTTACCCCACATCCTCTCCAGCATAAGTTATCATCAATGATTTTGATCTTGGTTATTCTTACAGGTGTAAGATGGAATCTCAGAGTTGTTTTGATTTGCATTTCTCTGATGGCTAAGGATGTTGAACATTTCCTTAAGTGTCTTTCAGCCATTTTAGATTCCTCTGTTGAGAGTTCTCTGTTTAGGTCTGTACTCCATTTTTTTTAATTGAATTATTTGTTCTTTTGATGACCAGTTTCTTAAATTTTTTGGGTTTTTTTTTGTATATTTTAAAGATCAGACCTCTGTCTGATGTGGGATCAGTGAAGATCATTTTCCATTCTGTAGGCTGCTGTATTGTCTTGTTAGTAATGTCCTTTGCTTTACAGTAGCTTTTCAGTTTCACGAGGTCCCATTTATTAATTGTTTCAGTGTCTGTGCTGCTGGGGTTATATTTAGCAAGTGGTCTCCTGGGCCAATGTGTTCAATTGTACTTCCCACTTTCTCTTCTATGAGGTTCAGTGTGGCTGGCTTTATGTTGAGGTCTTTGATCCATTTGGACTTGAGTTTTGTGTGTGGTGATAGAGTGCAAGCTGGTACAGCCCCTTTGGGTTTCAGTATGGCAGTTTCATAGAAAATTAGGAAACAGCCTTCCTCAAGACCTAGGGGTGGAACTAGAAAGCATCATATTGAGTGAGGTAACCCGGACCCAGAAAGACAATTATCATATCTACTCATAAGTGAATTTTAACATGAAGTAAAGAAAACCAGCCTACAAATCACAATCATAGAGAACCTAGACAACAATGAGGATCCCAAGAGAGACATACATGGATCTAATCTACATGGGAAGTAGAAAAAGACAAGATCTCCTGAGTAAATTGGGAACATGGGGACCATGGGATATGTTTGAAGGGAAGGGGAGGGAGGAAGGGGAGCAGAGAAAAATGTATAGCTCAATAAAATCAATTAAAAAATTAGAAAAAAGAATGAGTACGTTCACTTAGGTTTCCATCTTCTCACTGAGTCACTAATGATAATAATAGGCTTTAGCCCTATGAGTTTATCTAAGATTAAATCCCCTTCGCAGAAAACCCATCTGAAAATTAACAAGAATTTCTGATAAGTTTTCTAATATGGGTGCTTCTGGGGCTCACATTCA